AGCACTGGGAATAGGGTGTGTCCTTTAGACCTGGGGTCCCTGTGCCTGATAAGCTCTTTGACTGGGGGAAGACTGATGACAAGGAACTTCTTCCAGAGCCAACAAAGAGAGAAAGTCTTCCACTGGAGCTGACGCCCTGAATTCGGACTTCTAGCCTACTAGACTGTGAGAGAATAAACTTCTGTTTGTTGAAGCCAGCCACCTGTGGTATTTCTGTTATAGCAGCACTAGATAACTAAGACAGAATCTGGTACCAAGAAAGGGGTGCTGCTCTAAGAGATACCTAAAATGTGGAAGTTTTGAAACTGTGAATGGGTAGAAGCTGGAAGAGTTTTAAAGTGCCTAACAGTAAAAGCAGTTGCCTTGAAGAGACTGTTGGTGGAATTATGGACGTCAAACAATTCTGGTGAGGGCTCAGAAGGAAGTGAGGAGAGAACTGGCCAGCAATAGAGAAATGACAGCAGCAGAGAAACAGCAGCAGCAGAACTAGGAGACCAGTGCGAGACAGCACTGGAGCTGTCGTATGGGCCGAGAGCTGAGTGCCTTTGCGCAGGAGGCTTCCTGGAAGAGTGGGGTGCCTCCAGGCACTTATTGGTAGAGCTAGGCTTGGTGACTCATGGAGCAAGAGAGCTGAGTGCCTTCCAGTCGAAGTTTACTGGCAGAGAGGGGTGCCTCCAGGCACTTATTGGTGGATCTGAAGAGTTTTGGAATACTTATGCCAGCAGGGCAGATGTGGGCAGTAAGGTCCAGGGGGCCGAGATGCCAAGGAACCAGGAAGCAGAAGCTGAAGAAACAAGGAACATAGAAAGCAGAGCTGCCTCAGTCTCAAAGGGTATGTCCATGACTTCTGGGATCCCAAAGGGTGGAGTCAGTACTCAGATGGATCAGTAGAATGGGGTCTTCCAAAGCTGAAGGAGCAGAATTGCCATTCCAGTGGGCCTGGAAGGCGGAGCTGAAGCCCAGGGCCGAGGGGCCTCCACTCAGAATCTGGAGAACGTGGCCAATATCTAGAGTCTGGAGGGCAGGGCCATTGTGTAAATGGTCTCAGAGAACAGAGATTAGTTCAAATCTTGAGGACTAATGTAATGTGTTCTGCTGACTAGCTTGGTGCCTGTTATCCCTTTTTTCCCTCCAATTTCTTCCATTTGTAATGGAAATGTCTAGCTTGAGCCTGTTCTACCACCGTACTTTGGAAGCAGATAACTTGTATTCTAGACTCCACAGATGAGGAAGCTGATTGGAATTGGAATTAAGACTTTTGCTATAATATAATGGGGTCAATGTGTTTTGCATGTGGCAAGGATGTGAATTTTTGAGGGCCAAGGGGTGAGATGTCTTGGATTGAATTGTGTCCTCCAAAAATATGTGTACCAATTTGGCTAGGCCATGATTCCCAGTATTGTGTAACTGTCCACCATTTTGTCATCTGATGTGATTTTCCTATGTGTTGTAAATCCTACCTCTATGATGTTGATAAGATAGGATTAGTGACAGTTACGTTAATGAGGCAGGACTCAATCTACAAGATTGGACTGTGTCTTGAGCCAATCTCTTTTGAGATATAAAACAGAGAAGCAAGCAGAGAGACAGGGGGACCTCATACTACCAAGAAAGCAGCACTGGGAGCAAAATGCGTCCTTTGGACCTGGGGTCCCTGTGCCTCAGAAGCATCTTGACTGGGGAAAGACTGATGATAAGGACCTTCCTCCAGAGATGACAAGAGAGAAAGCCTTCCCCTGGAGCTGATGCCCTGAATTCGGACTTCTAGCCTACTAGACTGTGAGAGAATAAACTTGTTTGTTGAAGCCAGCCACTTGTGATATTTCTGTTATAGCAGCACTAGAAAACTAAGACAATGACCAAACCTTGTGTTTACTTCAACCCAGTTCCAGTCACCTGCAGAGAATAAAGAGTTGCCTCTATCCCGATGCCACAGTCCAGAGGAGCAAATCAGACCGGCCCACTGGGTCAGTCTCCCACCTCTGGTCCAATCAGCGGTGACCAGAAGGACAGGTTCACGTAACATAAAAATGGTTGTGGGACAGGGCAGTTTCTAGCAGAAGAGGGTTGTGATGAACTGGTTTAACATGTAACAAAGAAACAAGATCATTAAGACAGAAAGAACTACATCTAAAATTAGAATAAATAAGCTGTGTGAGAGGGCCTAAGGTGCTACCCTATGAACATGAAGTTTGGCCCCATTACTTTGTGGTTAAGTACCTTTTTTCCCCCGAGGCCTTGGTTGTCTACTTCCTGTTTCTTTTTATTTATTGAGCTATAATTCATATGTCATAAAATTCACTTTTTTAAACTATACAATTTGGTGGGTTTTTTGTATAGTCACAATGTTGTACAATCACCACCACTATCTAATTCCAGGGCGTTTTCATCACCCCAAAAGAAATCAAGTTCCCCTACCCCTAGCCACTAGTAACCACTAATCTATATGGTTCCATAGCCTCTGAAAGAAATAGTCCACAGATTAAAAATTATCATGAGTATCACAGATCTTTATGGATTTGCCTTATTCTGGACATTCCATATAAATGGAATCATACATAGGCGGCCTTCTGTAACTGGCTTCTTTCACTCAGCGTAATGTTTTGAAGGTTCATCCACCATGTAGCATGCATGTATCACTAATTCAGTCCTTTTTATGACTCAATTCTATTCCATTGTATGGATATACCAGATTTTCTTTACGTTCTCTTCAGTTGATGGACATTTGGGTTGCTTCCATTTTGGGCTATTATGAATAACACTACTAGGAAAATTCATATACAAGTATTTGTTTGAACATATGCTTTCAATTCTCTTGAGCATATACCTAGGAGTGGTCTTGCTAGGTTATACGGTAACACTATGTTCACCTTTTTAAGCAACTGCCAGACTGTTTTCCACATCAGCTGCACCATTTTACATTCCCCCCAGCAGTGGACAAGGGTTCCAATTTCAGCACTTGTTATGTCCATCTTTTTCATTACGGCCATTCTAGCAGGTGTGAAGTGGTATCTCATTGTGGTTTTGATTTGCATTTTCCATAGCTTATTGGCCATTTGGATATCTTTTTTGGAGAAATGTCTGTTCAAATACTTTGTCCATTTTTAAATTGGATTATTTATCTTTTTATTTGAACTGTAAGGTTTTTTTAGTTTGTTTTTGTTTTAATATTCTAGATATTAGACTCTTAACAGATACATGATTTCACAATCTTTTCTCCCATTTTGTGGGTTGTCTTTTCACTTTCTTGATAGTGTCTTTTGAAGCACAGAAGTTTTTAATATTGATAAAGTAGTCCAATTTGTGTATTTTTTCTTTGGCTGCTTGTGCTTTAGATGTCATAGCTAAGAAACTATTGCCTAATCCCACATCATGAAGTTTTATACCTATGTTGTATTCTAAGAGTTTTAGCTGGTACACTTAGGGCTTTGATCCATTTTGAGTTAATTTTTGTATATGGTGTGCATTAAGGTTGCAACTTCATTCTTTTGCATGTGGCTATACAGTTGTCCCAGCACTATTAGTTGAAAAGACTATTTTTTCCCCATTGAATGGTCTTGGCACCTTTGTCACAGATCCAGTTTCTTTTTCAACCAAATTCCCAAGATTGATTAATAAATAACTGACCACACCCAGTCAAGCATACAACAAAAAAGCACCCAAATGTGATTAATGTGTGCATATTTAGAAAGCCCAAACTATAATCAGCATTTTTACTTTATATAATACTAAAATTATTCTGGCTAGTACATTGATTACGTTCACTATCTTGTGATGATGGTTTCATGGGTGTATACTGTACACATGTCAAGTTATCTACATTATCAAATTGTACATTTTAAATATGTGCAGTTTATTCTATGATAATTATACCTCAGTTAAAGGTTGGCAGTTCAAATCCACTAGTTGCTCCTTGGAAACCCTATGGGGCAGTTCTACTCTGTCCTGTAGGGTCACTATGAGTCGGAACCCGACTCGATGGCACCTAACAACAAAGCTATTTACAAAACCGAGATACACAAAAGGCAAGAATGTAAATGAAATAACTTTTTCCTTAATCATTTTTCAGGATCAACCTCTCTGGGCCTAAGGATATGTTACCAGATAGTAGTTTAGGAAAACCTGTATTTCTACATTCAACTAACTTCATTCCAAAATGCAAGCAAATCATTTCAATTCAAGACTTGAAAAGCTGGGAGCAGTACATTACTACAGAATAAATGTTAATCAGGGCTTTACAATAGGTTTTGACTCTTAAGGAAAACATCTTTAGGTCCCCTTCTGATGAGTGTCTAGCAACTGGGTTTGCTTATATGATTTCGAGTTTACCTTTTCTACATAAAATTGATGCCCTCAGTTGATTTAGGCTCTATATTGGCAGAGATCTTTCGTATCTATTCTTTCATATCTATTCTCTGTATCCTCAGCTCCAAGAACACCACCAACCACACAGCAGAACCTCAGTAAATATCTGCTGAATGAAAAGAATAAAATTCCACTTAACCTGTTACCTTTTCCTAGGACCAGTGTGGACTGTGACAGGTGTCAGCTCTGTTCCTCCCCTCTAACTCAACAATTCCATCTCTACAAGCAGATGCTGTGTGTTTTCTGCAAACTTTCTTATTATTTACCTCTTTAAATTTGGAAGAAAAAAAAAAGGTGGTGTGGCTTAGGAATTTCATATCTAGAAGATAAACTAAAAAGTTACATGTCAAAGATTACGCATAGGATCTACAAACTAGAAGCCGTTACAGAAGAACAGTGAGTGAAATCATGGCATATTCTCCCAAAGAAATCATCCATAGATCAAAAATGGTAATTACCAACAATTAAAAAAAAAAAGATAATTACCTGCTAGAATTTCTACTCCATGCAGGCAGGAAGTTTTGCTGGTTCTGTTTACCGGACAGTGCCTGGAACATGGAAGGTACTTATTAATTTAGTTGAATAAATTAATGGAACCAAAACTCACTGCTGTCAAGTCAAGTCCAACTCATAGCGTTTCCAAGACTAAATCTTTATGGAAGCAGACTGCCACATCTTTCTCCCACGGAACAACTAGTAGGTTCAAACTGCCCAACTTTTGGTTAGCAGCCAAGTGCTTTAACCACTGTGTCACAAGAGCTCCTTATCAAACTTATCCATGAACACATATCTGAAGGGGATGAACAAACATGTGGAAAACTGTGTTCAAACGGTGGGATGATGGGTGTTTCCTCACTTTCCCTCTATTTTCCTATTCTCCCTAATGCTGTGATAAAAAGTTGGCAGTTGAAAGGATGGTCACAGAAACATCGCTCCCTCATTTTGCCCTGGCTGCTTCCTCCCTGGCCTGCAACAAAGAAACTGGAATACTGTATTTGATAGGATGTGTGGCCATAGCCACGGGCTCCTAGTGCACCTGGTATTTAACTTTTTCCCCTCCAGCTGAGAAGGTGTTGCAGCTGCCACCCCCTCTCCCACGTAGAGCCAGTGCAAGTTTGGACGTCCTGAGGGATCACTTATACATCTAGGTGCCCTAAGGGGGTTGCTACTTCCTGAGGTGGCGGTCACTAAGAGGGTCATTCTTCACGGTGCCCCTGAGGGTGTCGCTCTTTCCTGAGAGCGAGGTCACTGAGAGAGACATTTTTTCTCCCCGGCACCCGAGGGGGTCTCTCGTTCCTGAAGGGACGTCACGCCTCGCCCGGGCTCCTCCCCAGCACGCGCCGCCTCCTTCCGGGCCGTCCTCAAAGGTGGCGTCGCAGGCGGCCTGACAAGCGAGGTTCGGGGAAAGAACGCGGCGGCGAGAACACAGCGCAGAACTCGGAGTCCGCGCTACAGCGGCCCCGGCGGTCGCAGGCCATGGCGGGCTGCCGCGCCGTGGTGGCGGGCTTCCTGTTCGAGTACGACACGCCGCGCATCGTGCTCATCCGCAGCCGTAAAGTGGGGCTCATGAACCGCGCTGTGCAGCTGCTCATTCTGGCCTACGTCATTGGGTGAGCGCAGCTCTGTGCGGCCGGTGGGGTGGCGGCGGATACCCCTCCGGGCCGGGCGCACCTGCTCGTGGTGGCTCAGGGCCTGGGGTGAGCCCGCGGGCGCCCTCCAGGTGGGGTTCCACCTGGTGACAGCCATCTCCCGGGCCCGGTGGCTGCAGCTGTGCCCCACCCGCGGGAGGGTGGGGAGACGGACTCTGTTCCAGGGTCCCAGAGGCAAAGGGCTGCTTCCATGTTGTGTTTTAATGGCAAAGCCTGGCTAAGCCCTTCACGCTTGCCTTTTCTGCTTCTTGACCTGATTTGCTCTGTGATCCCCATTGGCCTTGGGGCGCTCTGTCCTAAACGTCTCAATCTTTTCACATCCCGTTCAGAAGATCTGCTGACAGAATACAAGACTTGGGATTTCCGTTTGGTTTCTATTGGGTCTGTGGTTTCTGGGCCTTTCCTTTGCGCACCATGTCGTCACTCAGAGATAGTGGAGAGGGAGACTTGGAAAACGTTGTTCTGCTTTTCATTAACCGCCTAGTAAGTGTATATGGTATTTAAAGTTCACTTCCTTTGTTTTGTGGGGTGGTTGTGTGTGGACCTTCGTTAGCCGCACCATTCCCCCTGCCCTATGCTTAGGCTTAGGTGTCCTACCACCCACCTTAAGCCAGTTGCCCTCAAGTTTATTCTAACTCATGGTGACCCCAACTGTCGGAATAGAACTCCATAGGGCTTTCACTGGCTGCTTTTTCAGAAATAGATCACCAGGCCTTTCTTCCAAGGCACCTGTGGGTGGACTCGAACCTCTAACCTTTTGGTTAGAAGCTGAGTTCCTTTCTGGTGGCACCCATCAGGGACTCCTCTGCCATGCTGAGGACTCAATGAAGGTTGGGTTTTGATTGAATGAGCTCATTACAATTTAATGAAACTGGAGAGAGAAGGAAATGACCTTGCCAACTGGACCTACTTTAAAGGGTCACCTGACTTGTGTCTGCAGCTGCTGAGCTAGCAGATGTACCTGCTCACTTGCTGCTTATTTTTAAAAGACCTAGTGCAGTGGTCCCCACACTTTGCACTTTGCACATTGGAACAACTGGGGAATCTAAAAAGTACTGATTGCTGGCTCCCATCTCTAAACCTTCTGATTTAATTGGTACCCAAGATGACCAACTCCCCAGGTGATTCTGATGTGCAGCAAAGTTCGGAAACCACTGACCTAGTGTTTCCCAAACTTACCTGATCAGGAGAGAGTCACCTGAGGAATTGTATAATAGATCACCAGAAGTCTCCTTGGAGTTCTGATTCGTAGGCCTGAGGTGGGGCTTGGAGTCTGGTAACGTTGCTGCAGGGGATTCACCAGATCTGGCAGATTTGGGAAACACTAGGATTCCAGCATCTGCCAGCCCAGCAACAGTTATTGTTAGGTGCCATCGAGTCGGTTCCAACTCATAGTGACACTGTGCACAACAGAACGAAACACTGCCCAGTCCTGCTCCATCCTCACAATCGTCGTTACGCTTGAGCCCATTGTTGCGGCCACTGTGTCAGTCCATCTCGTTGAGGGTCTTCCTCTTTTTCGCTGACCGTCTGCTTTACCTAGCATGATGTCCTTCTCCAGGGACTGATCTCTCCTGATAACACGTCCAAAGAATGTAAGACGTAGTCTCGCCATCCTTCTAAGGAGCATTCTGGTTGTACTTCTTCCAAGACAGATTTGTTCATTCTTTTGGCAGTCAATGATATAGTCAATATTCTCCAGCACCACAATTCAAAGGCATCAATTCTTCTTTGGTCTTCCTTATTCATTGTCCAGCTTTTACATGCACATGAGATGATTGAAAACACCATGGCTTGGGTCAGGCGCACCTTAGTCCTCAAGGTGACATCTTTGCTTTTCAACACTTTAAAGAGGTGTTTTGCAGCAGATTTGCCCAATGCAATCTATCTTTTAAATTCTTGACTGCCGCTTCCATGGGTGTTGATTGTGGATCCAAGTAAAATGAAATCCTTAACAACTTCAATTTTTTCTCCATTTATCATGATGTTGCTTATTGGTCTAGTTGTGAGGATTTTTGTTTTTTTATGCTGAGGTGTAATCCATACTGAAGGCTGTGGTCTTTGATCTTTACCAGTAAGTGCTTCAAGTCCTCTGCATAACACGGGTTGCTAATGAGTCTTCCTCCAAGCCTGATGCCCCATTCTTCTTCATATAGTACAGCTTCTTGGATTATTTGCTCAGCATACAGATTGAATATGGTGAAAAGACACAACCCTGACACACACTTTTCTAACTTTAAACCATGCAGTATCCCCTTGTTCTGTTCAAACAACTGCCTCTTGGTCTACGTACAGGTTCCTCATGAGCACAATTAAGTGTTCTGGAATTCCCATTCAGCAGCAGTAGGTACTGACAGTGTTCGAGACTATGGCTTTCCAGGTGTGGACTCTACATCAGAACCACTCCCAGGTTTGGATTCATTAAGTCTCAAGGGGGAGGTAGTACCACCATCTCTCCCCCACATTCCAGTAATTGTGATGAACCCTTAAATTTTGAGACTCACTACCAGTTGCCATTGAGTCATCTCCAACTTACGGCGACCCCATGTGTCAGAGTAGATAGAACTGTGCTCCCTAGAGTTTTCAATGGCTGGCTTTTTGGAAGTAGATTGCCAGCCTTTCTTCCAAGGCACCTCTGGGTGGACTCGAACCTCCAGCCTTTCAGCTAGCAGCCAAGTGCTTACCCATTGTGCCACCAGAGCTCCTTACGTGACTACTAGAAAACTGTAAATATATATGTGGCTTGCATTATATTTCTGTTGGGCAGCACAGATTGATAGCGTTCCTTATCAAGTGTTCACTAACTTGATCATGAGGATTTTTTTAAGCAGCAAATACTCTGCTTTTACCTATCTTGCTCTGGTCAAAGCTGACTCGGTCTGAATAATTAAGGACTTTTTTTTAAAAAAAAACTCTTAATTTCCTGATCCAGTTCATCTTGGTATGAGTCGGCATTGACTCAACGACAACACATTTGGGGTGTTTTTTTTCTTACTCCCACAGTGACCTCCAGCAGCCTTTCATCAGTAAGAGACCAGACACACCAAAAGCTGGTAATAGGGAACCCAAAGTTGAGGAGGGAGAGCGTTGACATGTCGTTGGGTTGTTAACCAATATCATAAAACAATATGTGTACTGTTTACTGAGAAGCTAGTTCTATAAACCTTCATCTAAAGTACAATTAAAAAAAAAGAGAGACCAGACACACCACTTGCTCCAATGCTCAGTTATCAGTGCGTGATGATGACTGATGGGAAGCCATTTTTCTCTCATTTAGCAACTCACTGTCCTGGGTGGTAAAGTAATAGTGACCTGCCTGCCCTAAACTTATATTGCAGCTTAATTCCAAGAAGCCCTGAAGAAGAGGACTTGTCGGCAGAAGGCCCATCTCTGGGATGGGCAGTGAATTTGGGGACTGTTCAGATCAGACAAACACATAAATAAGTAACTAAAACCAGTGAATTTCTGAAGTCTCAGCTTCTGGAGCTTATAAGAAGGGGAGGGAGATGGTAGCATGTCTTGATTCTAGAAAGAATAATTGCTGGTAGATGTTTAACAACAGCTTTGGTGGGAGGGAGCCCTGACTTGTAGCACTGGCCCACTTTCGTGGTGTAAATACTCCACCATGGCTGATGTCAAGTTACCAGCAGTGTTATGTTTCCTAGGGCTGCTGTAACAAAGTACCACCAACTCAGTCCTTTAAAACGTCAGAAATTTGTCTCTCAGTTCTGGAGGCTAAAATCCAAAACACCAAACCCGTTGCCGTCAAGTCAATTCTGACTCGTAGTGACCCTATATAGCTAGACATCCAAATTCAGTGTTGGCAGGGCCACGCTCTCTCTGAAGGCTCTAGGGGAAGATCCTTTCTTGCTTCTCGCATCTAGTAGCCCCAGTCATTCCTTGGTGTACAGCTGTAGGATCACATGGTGTTCTATCTCTTTTATGAGGACCCATAAAAAACAAAAAATCTTTACCATCGAGTCAATTCCAACTCATAGCGACCCTACAGGACAGACTAGAACTGCCCCATAAGGTTTCCAAGGCTATATTCTATAGGGACCCCTGGTGGCACAGTGGCTTAAGAGCTTGGCTGCTAACGAAAAAGGTGGCAGTTCAAATCCCCCAGCCACTCCTTGGAAACCCCATAGGGTTGCTATGAGTCAGAATCGACGTGATGGCAACCGGTTGGGTTTTTTGTTTCGAGTTTATCCCCATTTTGCAGAAGTAGAAATGGAGCCCCCAGAAGTTAATTAGCTTTTGCAAAGTCACATAAGTAGTAAATGGTGAACTTTCAGCCTCTGGCTAACAAGCTCCCTGGCATCAATTCAAATTCACTGAATCCTAATGGTGATTTAAGAAGGCTTTTTTATTTTGTAGGTGGGTGTTTGTGTGGGAGAAGGGCTACCAGGAAGTGGACTCGGTGGTCAGCTCAGTTACTACCAAGGCCAAGGGCGTGGCTGTGACCAACACCTCTGAACTTGGATTCCGGATCTGGGATGTGGCTGATTATGTAATTCCAGCTCAGGTACAACTCCCACCAGGACTTCTGTCTAATTAAAGCCTTTAGTTGGCGCCTTTCTCTCTACTGACTTGGCACACTGATTGATTGCCTTTGCCAAACTTCCAACATCACTGATGCCCGGACTGAATTGCTTTAGTGCAAGAAAGCAGTGCAGACAGATGTGTTCTGGGCTTAGCGTCTCCCAGGTAATAGTCAGCTACGGTTCTTCAGCTCTGGAGCATGGCTGGATTAAAAATGGGAAGCTTGCCAGGTGAACATCTGTCTGCCTCAAGCCTTGAAAGACGAAAAAGTAAAGGTGTTAAATGCTGGGAAAA